ACACGTTGTTGGGAAAAATACGCTGAATTTCCCATGAAGTCGGATCTATAAAAGAGAAATAGAAGCGAAATTTTGACACGCCAAATTGATAATGGAGTTCGGTCAATAACGCCTACGTCTCCGGACTACTGCAGATATTTTATTTGGAGAAAAGAAATACACTCGTGTTTACAAAACACTCTCAAAACTCACTCAGAACTCTCAACCCAAATGCTCACAAAAACTAAATTTCTTGCTTCTTGCTTGCACCCTTTTTTTTCTTTCTTTTCTCTGTTTTCTCTTTGGTTTGGTGTTGTTCTTGGTGTGTGTTTTCTTCATTAATTTTGCCCTCTAGTTATTGTTGAGGATTGCAATGTGAATTACATTACCAATTATCAATAAAACACAACTTCTTAGCACCTCCAATGTGAAATGCAATGTGATTTTGTCAAAGTTTGGCACCCATCACCTAATCTTTCAACAATCGGCCCAACTCACTCGCTGGAATACTTGAAAAAAGCGTCGAGAGAATTCCCGACGTAAAGTCTTCGACGATCAAGTCAACTTTCTCTATATGGAAAGTTAATGTAAATATATAATTTTGGAAACTAATCATATAAGAACCATAACCTTTTTATGGCAAAACCTCAATCCTTATATATGAGAATAGTCGTTTGCTGCCGAAGAATATCTAGTTGCTCAAAAATATCTATTGTTGCCCAAGAATATCTTGTCCAGGTTGGTCACGTGCATAATCTAACTCTCGTTATACTAGCCCGACTGGCCAACCCCTCAGTCCAATAGGTCAGTTAGGCGATTATTCGACCTAAAGGTATTGGAGAAACTCACGCGGTATAATCGACCTAGTCGACCTACAGAACCCTGGTCTAGGTCGAGCGGGGAGGGCTGTTGTTCGAGGTCGAGCTATCCGTACCACGTCACTTATTGTATTAGTTTACAGCGGATAGCTGATTGTAATACCTGGTTTGACCAACAGATTCAATTAGTGGTTTGTCAAATGAGCGTTTGGTAAATTGCAAAAATTAATAGTTGTTATGTTGTAATGTTTTTCTTTTTCTTAATTTTCTTTTCCCAAAATGCCGAGCCTTTTCAAAATTAGCATTTTGGATTTGAAAAAGCTAATCAAATAAACTCGTCACTAAACAAACTAATTAACAAATTTAATTGGTCAAACCTCTAAATAAGACTAATTCGCTAATCAAATAAACTAATTCTTTTTCTTAATGAAATATTTTCTTATTAATGAGATTGGGTGTATTAATGCCACATAAATAAAATTTATTAGGTTTTATTAATGATTTGCCACATAGATAAAATTTATTAGATTTTATTTATTAGGTAAAATTTATTGCTTAGCTAGCAATTATATATATATATATATATAGATTATTGACAGAATTCTCCACATTCTATCGGAAATGACACATCACATTCAGGTACTGTCTTATGTCAAATGATATGTTTGTTTGTCCTCAAATTGAACTTGTGGAACTATCGATTGATTTTACTGTAGCAAGAATCCTTTGGAAATACCTCTAAAGTTCCAGAACTACTTTAAAATTTTTTTTTCTTAAAGTCATGTTCATATGATGTGTCAGTTAACGGGACACGTGAATTTGACGTGTCATTTTAGGCTCAACACTTGAAATTCCAGCCAAAATTATCCTTATTTGGATCAATTTTAAAAGATATAAAACAATTAATAATCAACTATATTCCAGAAGAACTAATTTTAAATTAACTTCTGCAAACCTCATTCATTATCGTTTTATGGGCCTGCAGACCGACACTTGAAAGAGGGCCAGCCCCATTACAAGACATCAACTCTTTGTAACCACCCACATTGCATATTCTTGTGATGGTCCACAAGAAAGAAGGAAAAGTAAATAAATAAATAAATAAATAAGGTGTTCGTTTCTTTATTTAACTGAGTTTGCATTGCCTGTATAATGGAACATTACAATAACATATGCAGCTAGTGCTTAGAGATTCTTATCCAAAAGTGGTCCATAATTGACTTCCATGGACTGAATTATTTGTAGTATGAACGTTTCCTTTGCACTGGTTAACCTTTGATACAACTTCCAGACTACACTAAGGTTACCACTTCATCACATTAAAAAATAATAATAATAATAATAAAAAAATAAAAAATAAAAATAAAAAATCAGATAACTCTCTTGAAAATGAAGACAGAAAAGTAGAACAAAAAAAGTATTGTTTTTTTAAAGTGAGATAAATTTAAGTTTATGAATCGATATACAACAAAGAGAATGATTAAAATGGATAGGATATAAAAATACTAAAAACTTTGATCATAAAATTGGTTGTTAGAAATATAAGCAAACGAATAAAAAGTATATAATATATAATGATTGCTCGCTATTTTTCAATTTGTTAGAACGATGGCTATTGTTGAAAAAAAGGGTGAGATAGAAAGTGAGTAGTATTTAGAAAAACGAAAAGGAACATGCAAATTTTTAGGTTATTTAGTAACCTTGTCCTGGAGTGGACTTCATTGATCATTTGGAAAAAATATATTATGGAGGGAAAAAATTATGCATTGCTATCTTTTAGAAGTAGTGGTTTTGTTGATTTTTATTTAAAGTATGCTTTCTGCAGTCTCTCTATAAGCCTATTAATTTGGACTGCATGTATGAAAACGTAATTGTGATTGCATTATAGGGGTGATGTGGAGGACGTTTTAATTATTATGAAAGTTCTAACTTATGTGGATGTCAATTTAGGGCTTTACTCAAATTATGAATTGAAATATTATTCTTCTTGCATGATAAGTGTTGATTATACTGGGTAAGTGGTGGGGTTAGACGGAACCATAGAGTGACAAACATGACGTAGTTTATCCAAATTAGATTTTGTGTGGTAGATAAATTTTATCTTTGCTCCATTAAGTTTTTTTTTTTTTCTTTTTTTTTTTTT